CCTCCATCAGTTTGTTGGTTTTTCCTCCATCAGTTTGTTGTCTCTTTTTGCCTCCTGCCTCCATAGCTCCTCCTCCTCGCCGTCCTTCCTGTCGTCTCTCGGTAACTTCCTGTCCTCTGCTGTCAGACTGTTGATGAATCTGTTGTTTCCTCTCTAACCGCCGTCCTCCTTCCTCTGTTCTCTCCTCTGTGCTTCGTCCAGGAGTGGAGAAACTAGTGCTTTACTTCAGTGACACGGCGTGGTACGGTAGAACCTTCATTACCTTCTTGTTCTCTGACTTATAGAACAACATTAGTTAGAACCTCCTGACCCGACCAGCTCCGTAAATACAGCTTCACACAGGAGATGAAACCACAAACTTATGTCGACAAGACGGGGTCCTCAATTAAAAAATATGCTTTGTTTATATTCTACATGTTTAGTTTTGTGTTGGCAATCATCTCTATCAACCTGTCTGATCTCAGAGGTTCTGAATCAGTGACATGATGAGAACCAATAGAGAACGTTTCAGGTTTTTATCTTTAACAGTTCCTCACATGTTGTTGTTCAAACAGACTCAAGTTTCAGTGCAGTTCATCTCTCGAAATATTAAATGCATCAAACTAAAACTTCACAGTTATCTTTACACATATCCATATTTTATGCCATAAAGCTTTCCAGAGATGGTGGAGCAAGACAAACGTGACGATTTAAGGTGGAATGACTTTTAAAGAAGACGATTCCTGGTCTAGAGGAAGGTTTTAAGGAGCTCTCTCTTCTTATCCAATCGAACGTCTTCGCTGTGCTGATATACCAACAGGTCCGATTCATAACGGCGCATTAAAGGCCTCGTTTGGACAGAATTAGTGTCTTCAGAGTTTAAGGGATTTTAATTCAGTTCAGAGCAAATGTGAGTTAATAATTAGAGCTGAAATGATTTAAATCCTGTCTGCAGCTTCGATTTTTTTATTTTTTTCAAACTGAATCTCTTCCTGCGTTTTATCAGCTGAGTGTGAATTTCAGCTTTTCAGTGAAAATGGAGGAAAATGTGGTGGAGTCGTGTGAAAACCAACATTTATGGACAGAGAGCTGATTTAGAGCAGCTCCACTCGTCAGGTTTAGTCCAAACGAGTCACCTGTTGACCTGAAAGAAAGAAAGAAAGAAAGACCACCACCATGAGCACAACAGAAACATCTAAAATACAGTCAGTTAGAACTGAAACTGGATCATTTGAGGTTTTTTAATTGACTGAACGATGACTCGATTCAAATGATGTTTAGCTTCGGCGCTTTTGTTCTGATCTTACGTTTGGTTTCTGTTTTTATTAGTTTGGAACGTAGAAGCAGGACAGAAAAGTCCAGAACAAGAAAAAATGTTAAACTTTAAAGAATTTTAGACTCAGAAATAAATCATGAATCCACTAAAAAGCTGCAATAAAGAAAAGTAAAAGACAAACAACTGTAAATGTAAAAAAAACAACAACAACAGAGGAGTAGAATAAATGTATGATCACATCCTTAAACCTTAAAATTAAACTATTTACAACAAGAAGCTTTAACGAGGAGAAAATAATCACATTTATTTAGAATTCAGTCCAAACTGTTCACGTGTGGACGTGAAGTAAAACAACTTAGAAAACAGGAAAAACACATTAATATAAAATAACAACCCATCCATCAGACCTAAACTAGACGTTTTTCTTCCAAATAACTGCACATATCTGCAGAACAGTCACACTTCTTGTCCATTTTTTTGTGTTTTCTATAAATTATGACTCTTTTTTGTGTTATTATCTGTATTTTAACAAAATGCGGAAAATCTGTGAAATTGCTCAAGAAATAGCAGCTGAACGTCCGACATCAAGAACATCGTTTGCTTCTAAAAACGCCGCCGTGGACTTAAACTAGCAGAGACTCTGGGTTCTGTATCTCCTCTGGTCTGGGAACTCCTCAGGATCCACCAGCAGGACGTTACAGAGGAGACGACCCAAACCCTGAGAAGAAGGCGGATGTTTGTGAGTCCAAACGTCACCACGCCGGCTCTGTTCGTTTCCTGCAGCTCTGCTTCTTCCTCCATTGTTGCTCCAACAACACTCAGAGTCATTTGTGGTCTCATGTTTATTCATCGTCGTCGTGATTTAAATAATTGAGCTAAGTGATGCCGCAGCGTTGGGTCGTATTATTCATCTAAGAGGCCTCCGGGGGCCGACGGGAGCTCCGGCGGATCAGCAGTTTGCTCGCCAGAGAAAAGTGTTAAAGAAACCAAAACCTGGCAGCCGAGTGAAGGTGAAGCTCTCTGTCCTCCTCTCCTCTTCCCTCCATCCTTCCTCTGCCCCGTCCTTTTGTTCCTGTTTCTGAACGTTCGCTCCTCTTTCCTCTGCCTCTCTAATCCATCCGTCCCGTCATGCATTATTTATGAACCGGGCTGCAGTCCCGCCGTCCGCCACACGGTGTCACCGTTCACCAGCGAACGTCTCCTCCGGCTCCACGTTCTGCTGAGAACGTCCTCGTGTTGTGGCGTCCGGTGGAGCCTCCTGCTGGACGCCTCCGGCTCCGCCACACGTGGAGGTGGTCCGATTCCCTCCAGCTGTGCTCAGGAGGAACCGAACACACTTTGGTCTGTTCGCTTTGTGTGAGTCAGAGAGCCGCGGTATTTAAAAGACCTGGTTGGGTTTCAGGCTTTACATGTGGAGGCAAACTCTGATGAACACAAACTTTATCGGTTTGACTCTGTGTGCGGTTCTGAAAACCCAAATCAATAAATAAGTTAAAGCTGAGGAGTACAGACCAACAAAAACCGGTCGGTGGGTTTGGATCTGCTCACGTTTATGTGCTTCACTTGCTGCTCAGTTACTTCGTTTGTTCATTAAAATATTTCTTAATATTGAAATTAGTCTGGACTAAACGAGTAAAATGTAAATTTAAAGCAAAATAGAAATGAAAAAAAATCAGGATAATATAATAATAATAATAATAATAATAATAATAATGATGTAGCAGAAACTACAGATCTTTAACTCCACTTTATAAATTTACCAAACAAATCTAATTATTCAGTAAAACGGTGATCCGGCTGCAGCATCCGTTGCCATGGTGATCTGTGAGGTTTAAACAACCTGCTGACGTCAGAGTTCAGCTCTCAGATGTTCTGAATCTGTCCTGATGTGTTTTTTCTTGTTTATTTACAGATTTTTTTCTACTTTTTTTAAAACAAGCCCAGATGTTCAGTTCCTTTTCTCTTCTCGTTGTGTTTCAGTCACAGATACTTCACTCCTCCAATCAGGAAGACCAGGAACCACTGATGCCGCCGCCGCCGCCACCACCGCACCCCCAAGCTCCGCCTCCAGCCTGCCGCGCCCCCGCTGACAGACTCCCCACGCCGCCGGGAGCAGAGGATGATGGGAAACCAGAGGAGAAAGTTGACCGGAGAGCCAGATCCCTGCTGCCCCCCCAGCCCTCCAAGCTCCGCCTCTTTGCCTCTGGCCCCGCCCCTCCGAGGGCGTCCAGGCCGCCTCGCGACCCCGAAGGCGGCAGCGTTTCCGGGTTCAAGCTCAGAACCTCCGGCTCGTCCCGCCTCCCCAAACCAAAGAGCCACTGAAGCCTTCCTAACACGCAGCGACGCTTGAACCGGCCTCCGACTGAAACCTGTTCATTTAACGAGTCTGCTTCATGATACGAGCTCCAAAACCTCGTAGTGGCCTCAAACCGACTGACGGAAAACCTGCAGGCGTTTGGAGGCAGTGTTCTACAGAACCTGAGAGGTGTCGCGGAGAAAAAGGAACAATCTGTGCTTTTAATGTGAAAATCATTCATCCGATTATTTCGCCCTTTTTCACGACTTCGAGTCGATGTTGTCGGATGCTGAGACGTTCCCGGTTTTAGATCGTGAACTCGTTTTGTCTGTGAGCTTCACCACAAACCTCCAGAACGTGGCTTCAGTCTTTCTTTGACCCTCAGCTTCTAAAAGAGGAGAAGAAGCACAACAGTCGGTGACACCGACCAGGTTCTGCAGCGCTAACGCTCCCAAACGCTTCACTTTAATTTACTGGTGCATTAACAACAAAATAGATGAATAAGAAACTCCGTCAGCGAGTGCACATTAAGCCGTTCGTCTGCGGCTTTAAAGAAATTAACGAGCAACAAATGAATGCGTTCTCTGATTTAAATGGAGCAGTTCTTTTAAAAAAAACAAAAAAAACCTGGTCTGGAAATCAATAACTGCTCATGAACTCACCGCGGCTCGCTAATTTAAAGTAATTTATCGCTCTGGGCTTAATAACTCATCATCAGAATCTGCTGTGATGCATTAATGAAGGCTCTCACTGGCGACCCGTTCCCTCGCTGTGTGTTAGGAACCGTCCAGAAGGCCTCCGTCGTCCCGGCAGGAAACACCGGAGCGTCTCCAAGGTCACGGCGCCGAAGCTCTGCTCACGTCTGGTCGGTTTGCGGGTTTTGTTCTCGTGAGTCCAGAAACAGAAGAGCCGGGTCGAGCTGGACCTGTTGCATCCTGGTGCAGGTTCTCAGCAGACGGAGGTCGAAGGTCTCGTTACGCTTCACACTGAGCTCGTCAGGTTGTTCTACGACACGTACAGAGCAACGCTTCACCCACAAAGCATCACAGGATTAGTGTTTAAGTAAACTGCCCCCGAGTCCATCACACTGCACCTCTGATCAGGTGTTCTGGATGCATTCACATGTTTTTGCGTCAGAAATGAGGTTTCAGCGACAGGAAAACTACTCAGTCCTAGTTAAGGGTTTCAGCCCAGCGGATCAGGACCGTCTCTGGTTGGTCGAGTCCGTTTTTCTGCAGCCTTGTTGAACATTTCTCTTTCGCTGCGGGGCTCTCATCAGTCTGCCGTGTTGCCTTCATAAAGAGAAAAGTTCCACATCAGCAGCCTTCCAGGACCGATCCAGTATCGACGGCCGTAAACTCCGTCGACGCTGATCCAGCCTGACGCAGACCGTCGGGTCGGACCGGTTTCATCCACTTTTACTGGGAGTCAAACCAGCAGATAGACAGATAGAAGGACGCACAACGACCTAAAACAAACACCAAGCGACAAAACGTGGTGACAAGGACACACAAAGAACTGGAAAGACACTGAAAGACCACAAAGAGACACAAAACCACCACAAAGAGTCGCTGGTCTGCTCCCAGAATAAAATAACCAGATGACGTGGATATTTTGTTATGCTGCTAATACTTTATTTTTTATGTTTTCTTCTGAGCACCTGATTGGTGGAAGGCAGGCGACGCTTTAATCCTTCGGCTGACGACAGCCTTTGACACGTTTATAAAAACCTGCAGACATCTTCTGCTCGTGGTTTGTTCTGTAATCAGCTGGAACACGGATCAGATCTGAGCTAAGCTAACGAGGCGTCGCTCTGCTCGGCCGCTACGTTTATGACTGACGGTTCGCCTCTCTTGAATCTTCTGGCGACGTCTTTAAAACAACCAAAACAAAAGCAGTAAAACGTTGCTGGTGTTGGTCCAGACCTGTGGGTGTGAAGCGTGACCAGACCTCGGGCCGGCCCGAGTCACTGCTGGACCAGCAAACGGTCCAACATCTGAGTGAGAGCTTCAGCCGAGGAGCTCTGGAGGACGTCTGGAGGACATCTGGAGGACATCTGGAGGACGTCTGTGAAGACTTAAAGCTGCGTCTGAGGCTGAAATAAGCAGAATCGTGAACGTTAAAGGACAGAACTGTTGCCTGGATGTTTCTGCGGACGTTTCCCCTCCGAACCTTCCCCCCGCCGGCGAGTCTGTCGGCGCCGCTCGCTTCCACGTTAGTATATGCAATAAGATATGCAACGACAAGTCGCAGGTTCAGCCCCAGAAACACTGAAGCTCTGGGAAATATGCAAAACCAGCTTGGCTTCGTTTCACATTTCAGGCAGCCGAGGACGAACAGCGGCGGACGTCTGGCAAACGCTCTCAGCTTCCAGGTGAACGGGTATCAGGTCCAGTTCTTTCTGTGTTTGGGTTGGTTGGACAAAAAAAGTGTTTTTAAAACGGTTTCACTTCATTTCAGAACAATCAGCTGCAGGTTTTAGATTCGTTAAAAAGTTCAAAACAAATGAGTTAAAATCGCACTCGAGGAGTTTGAGTCCAAGTCTTGTCTCAAGGCTTCAAGTTCAAGAAAGTCTCGAGTTAAGTCTCGAGTCCTTCAGGCTTCGTCCAAGTTGACTCTCAAGTTTTATCAAGTCCGAGTCTTGAGTCTGGTTAACACTAATTTTCTTGAGTCGAGTCTCAGGTTCTCAAGAGTTAGTCCAAGTCAGGTCCGAGAAGTTAAGTCTTGGTCGAGTCTCAAGTCTTTCAAAGCAAACTCAATTCAAATCTGAAATCAAGTCTCAGATTTTTCTGAATTCGTAGTCTCTAGTCAGCTCTCGAGTCTTTCAGGGCTGCTTCAGAGTTCTTATCAAAACAAGTCCTCGTCTCGACTCGGATCTTGTCTAAACTAGTTTCAAGTCTCAGGTTCTATGAAGAGAGACTTGGTTCAGGATGTTTGATCTTATTTTTTGTGAGCAGCTTCTTCGTCCTCCTCGTCTCTTCTTTGCTTCGCTCCGTCCGTCAGCAGCAGCAGCAGCAGCAGCATCGGGTACCACGCAGGTGTTGTAGATGGAGACGGTTGCCATGGCGATGTGGCCCGCGGCGACATCACCGCGGGGATTTACCTGGAAGCCGCCGCGTCGTTCCTCTCTGTCGCTTCGTCTCCGTTAACAATGAATTAGTTTAAGCTTCACATTTCTCACGGCAGACGCTAACGCAGAACATTTTCCGACATTCAGTCAAAGATTTGTCGTAAAAATGGCAGAAAAAAGCCGATTTCCTGCTGATTGTAAAGCTTCCTGTAGACGTGTTCTCGCTGTGTGAACCTGAACTCCTCTGAGGACACAACAGTCTCTGTAAAACTGGAGCTTTTTGCAGATTAAATGTCACTTTGTGGAGAAACGTAAACCTGCACCGGTGGATGCGTCAGTCATGATGATCCACTGGTGCTGCCGACACATTCAGCCGCTCAGAGTCCGTTGATTCTGTAGCGGCCGACCTGCGTTCTCCTGTTTTCTGAGCCCGACTGCAGCGTTCCTGCCGCTGAAACCTGCAGTTTTCTGCTCCGGCGTCTCGTCCTGCTAATGAACGTTATCAGAGGAAGCAGATTAGCGGCGCCTCAGCTGCAGCTTACACCGGATCCTCCAGGTGAACGTTCTCAGCGAGCTTAAACCTGAAGGTCGATTCATCTTAAAGGCGGAGAGAAACATGAGCTAATCTGCCTCCCAGCAGCTCGCCGGCCCATAAAACCCTCTGACGGAGCGGCGCCGGGCCGAGGCTCGCTGTTCGTGGACTTGTCTCGAAGTTTTGGGGAAAGTTCCCAGAAAAGGCTCAAAAGTTTCATATTTAACCCCAATTCTGACAAAACAAGCTGCTTCTGTTCCGAACATCCCGACCAGATTCAAACCAGATTTAACAGAAAAACCTGATCGATGATTGTGTGACGCCTCTAAAAAGCAGCGTTTTTTAAAATTTATTACGAGTTCAACAGTTTCTTTCACATGATTCAGTCAAAAACCAGAAATAAAACTGAACCAACAGCTGCAGGTTTTAGTTTCTCTGTTACTCCAGTTTTTTCTGTTAAAAAAGAAATGATGAAGTTAGATTTTGTGTCGGGAGGCCAAGTGTTTATAAAAAGCACTGATTTAATGTTTTTATCAGGTTAAAGATTATTTTTCCTGTGATTTTATTGGATATTGTCCAAAATTTAACTAAACTGGGAATACGTTTTATTTTTTATTTTATTTTTATGGTTCAGAGTTTTAAAACCGGCCTTTAAATGTCAGATATTGAAAAAGAAAATAATAATTTCATGGTGCGACTCCGACTTGTTTACTTTGAGAGATTCCTTCAACAGAACGGAGGAGAATCTGTGAAATAAAATAACAATAAAACAATTATTTAACACTTAGTGTAAAGAAAAAATATTTTAAAACAAGAATTTTTTTTGCTCTTAAAATTAAATTCAAAATGTGATTTTACAGTCAAACTGAAAAAAATTAATTGTGGAGTTTTCTTTAGTTTTTTAAAAAAAAAGCTGTTTTAAAACAAGTTTTATTAGATATTATCAGTAATTTAACAAAAACAATTAAAAATTAAAAACTGAGAGAAAATGTTCCGTTGTGGAGTCGAGGAAACATCCAGCGTTTCCGTCACCGGGTCGGTTTTTAAAGTCGGAGTTCAGAGTCAGTCTGCTCTCTGTTTAGATCTGTTCTGATTCGTTCAGAAATAAAAACATTTCCTGCCACAAACTGCTGCTTAAACTTTATCAGGATGCAGAGAATGAAGGTTCTGAAGCTCCGAAAGTCCACATTTTGTCCAACCAGCCCAAAGAATCTCAGAAACGCTGAAACTGTTTGAGGAGCCGAAGGCAGCAAACGTTTTATCAGGAGACCGACTTCATGACACCTGCAGCCCGAAGCGTCTGATTGGTTCGTTTAATCCCGACTCTTCTCGTCTTCGGGCTGAAACGTCCGTAACACTGAGTCCTGAGGTCCGTTTCCTCTGAGTGGTTCTGAGGTTCTGAGCTGCCGGTCCGTCCGTCTGACGCCCGTCCATCCGTCCGTCCTCTGCTGCCGTCTCGTCTCTGAACTCTGTGTCTCATCTCGTCTGTTTTCTGCTCGTCTTCGCCTCCTTCTGTCACCAGGGTTCAGGTCAGAAGTCACCATTCTGTCTGTTTGTCACTGAAATGTCCCAGTTGTGCCAGATGTTGAAGGTAACCTGAGGTCACGTGTTGTAAATTCTCACACTGAAGCGCTTCGTATCAACTCGACTAATCGAATCCTCCCTTCATCCCGTTTATATTCTGCTTTTAATCCAAACCAGCAGTCAGCAGAAAGTGTTGAAGACAATCAGGAAGTCCAGTAAACAAAGCTACATTTCACAATAAAAGCCCTGCTGGAACCATTCTGACAGCAAACGTTTGTGCTGAAGGTGTTGAGTTTCTGTCCACAGCAAAAACCTGCCGTGGTTAGAAACAGTCAGAGTGTTCAGAGGATCATGTGACTGCAGGTCTGAAGAAGAGCCTTAAAGGAGTTAAATCGTGAGTTTAAGACGGATAAGTCAGGATTTTATCAAAACCTTTGATCGAGGAATGATCCCGACACTTCAGTTTCTGCTGAAGTTCTGACCCGTCCATCCTGAGCTCGACGTCTGTTCGCTGTTGTTGATTAAGTTCGGGTTTTTTTGGACCTTTAGGAGACCTGCAGACCCCGAAGTTATCAGCCGAACTCACAGTTTCTGCTTCTGTTAACGGCGTCCAGGAAAACAAAACACAAACGTCCAGACAGAACTCGTCGGTGTGAAGCTGCAGCTGGTTTATAAACCGTCTTTAAAAGCTGCAGAAACTGTGAAGGTGTACCTTACAGTGACCCAACACAAACCGGAGGAATGCTGATTAAACAGACACTGAAACAGGAGAGCCGGCGATGACGGATTCTGTTTGAGAATTTACAGACGTGTGGATGTTTGCGGGTTCATCACTGTATCTACGCTGTATTTAGATGGATGTTGAGTATCCGTCATGTCGTGTGTCTACGGTTCAGCCTTACGTATCCAGACTGATGTACTCACTGGTGGTGTCTCTGCAGTACTGAGATGCTCCGTACTCACTCACCTGAACTCCTTCATGTGGAAAACTTGAAGTCCAGGGTCTGTACAGGCCTCCTGCTGGTTTTCATTATTTTGTGCAATAACTTGTGTTTGACGCCGCCGAGCTAACTCTTATTTAAACTGTACAAAGTCGTAGCGACGGTAATTATTATTATTATTATTATTATTGTTATTGTCGTTGTTGTTGTTGTTGTTGACACTGAATATTGAGCTTGTAAAGAATCTCAGTCTGAACGCACTTTAATGAAACGCTGGGCTTCATTCAGCAGAAACTTGAACCCGTTTGTTCTGTTAATCATGAGACCGTCTGGTTCTGATGCTGCGTTCATGTCCACTGGTTCCTTCTGATCGGACTCTGAGGAGCTGATTTTGACTGAAACAAACGATCATCGGCCTTCATGACGGATCTTTGAACTGCTTTTGTTTTTAGGATTTGTTCTAGAAACAGGAAGAAATCTGACTAATTACAGATTGTCCCAAAATCCAAAACCCTTTAGTTTAAAACGAGGAAAATCAGATGTTTGTTATATTTTAAATCTGTGTTGTTGTTGAAGAAGGAGCTGAAGTGATGATGGATTAACGTTCTGTCAGGTTGAATCAGAACATAAACACAAGAAATAACAACGTTTTATAAACGTGCACTGAAACATATACGCTCATAAAACTTAATTTAATGATGATCCGTACGTTTTACTTTCTGTAAATTAAACTGTTCAGAGTTTTGGTTCCACACAATCTGATCGATGGTTTAAATCCGTTTCCTGGGACGACGTGGACGCAGCATTCAACCTCGTCTTGGTTTTAAACTGACGTCACCGTGCAGAGAAACGACCAACGAACTGATATCGAAGCTGAGTGAACCCTGCTGTGATTGGTCGATGAGGCTCCCTGCTGCTCATTGGTCCATATTTACGGTCCTCTTCTGTCATTGGCTGAGATGTCTCTGATGCTGCTGAAATAAAGATTAATCCTCACCACGGCCGAGTTTGTGTTTCTGTTTCGCTGATGATCTGAAGTCTGCTGTTTGTCCTCTGACTGTAAATAAAGAAACAAAGATGGCCGACGCGTCCTCACCGGAGCGAGAACAAAACTCAGCTACGAACCTTCAAGGTGACAGTTTGATAAATTACGTGAACAGAAGTCTGATGGATGTTGGAGGACAGATGAAGGTAATTGTGTGAACCTGAGCAGGACCACCACAGTGGATGGATGGTCCTGACAGCGAAGCACGGAGGTGGAGCATCATGATGTGGGGCTGCATGAGTGTCGCTTTTGTTAGTTGGTGACTGTTTTCTGTCAGTTTTTGTCACTTTTTTTTTCACTTTGAGGTCATTTTCTGCCACTTTGGAGTTATTTTTGTTTCATTTTTGTGACTTGTGGCCACATTTGTTTCTTCTTTATATTTTCGTTCGTCTCTTTGTGGTCATTTTTTGCCACAATAATCCTTCTTTTGTCCACTTTGAGATTTTTTTGTCACTTTGAGGGTTTTTTTTGCCTCTTTGTGGTTGTTTTTGTCACTTTGATGTCATCGTTTCTTTGCGGTCATTTTTTATCTACTTGTGGTCATTTTTGTCACTTTTTGATTTTTTTCCCACTTTGGAGTTATTTTTGTTTCATTTTTGGTCATTTTTGTCTGTTTGATAATTTTTGTCATTTTTTAAAAAACCTTTTTTTGCACTTTGTGGTCGTTTTTGTGACTTGTGACTGCGTTTTTCTTATGTATATGTGAGGTTTTTTTCACTTTAAGGTCATTTTCTGCCACTTTGGAGATATTCTTGTTTCATTTTTGTGACTTGTGACCACATTTGTTTCTTTTTTATATATTCATTATTCTCTTTGTGGTCATTTTTTGGCACAATTTTTGCTCACTTTGAGATTATTTTGCCTCCTTGTGGTAGTTTTTGTCACTTTGATGTCATTATTGTTTCTTTGTGGTCATTTTAGTCATTTTTTGATCACTTCTTTGTCACTTTGTTGTTATTTCTGTTTCATTTTTGGTCATTTCGTGCGTCTCCTTTGTCTATTTGTTGTATTTTTTGTCATTTTGTGGTAATTTTTGTCCACAAAGACAGACGTCTGAGGAGGAAGACGAAGATGAAGAGCTGGTTTCATGGCAACCAACATCAGACTCATAAGAGTTTAAGACTTCAATCAAAGCACAGGATCAAAAATAACTTCTCATTAGAGTCACGTTGTAATCTGACAGCAGCTAAAATAAAGATGATTCAAAGATGAACGTTTGTGTGACTGTTTGAGCTACAAACTGCTAACGACTCGCTGTCTCGTTAGTTTACTGAAAGGATTCATGTCAGTAGGAGCTGATTGTGATCGAAAACAGCAGCTTTTATATTTAACTGTCCGCTCAACATTTACATTTATATTCATATTTATATTTATATTTGTGCTGAAACGTCTGCAGCTCCGACAGTTTTTCTCTTTTTGTTCTCCATCTTTAGGTGGTTCTGTTTTGTGTGTTTGTGGTCATTTGTCATTCTTTAAATCCGTTTTTGGTCTTTATGGTCATTTTTTGAATCCATTTTTCCTGTAGTTTCCTGTAGTAAGCTGTTCTTTATGTTGTGTTTTCTTGTGTTATTGTTTTTTCTTCTTCTTCTTTCTGGTCATGTTTTAAATCTCTTTTAGATCTTTTCCATCCGTTTCTGTATTTCCTGCCTCTGTTTTGTTGTTTATGTTCGTTTTTTTTTTTATCTCCTTGTGATCAGTTTGTGTCTCGTTGTGCTCGTTTTGTGAATCCTTCCCGTCCTTTGTTTTGTCGTTGTAGAACTTTTGCGTGCTTTTGTTTTTTCGTCTCTTTGTGATGGTTTTACGCTCGTCCTCGTAGCATCTGTTTGAAGCCTTGTGTTCCTTTTTGGGCATTTATCTTTTGTGATTGTTTTTGTCTCTCTGTGTTTATTTTGTGTTTATTTTGTGGTTGTTTTTAGAACTTTTTGGTCTTTTTATGCTTCTTTATTGTCATTTGTTGCCTCTGTTTTCATTTTTTGTCTGTGTGCTCGTGTTTCTGGTCTCGTTCGTTTTCTTCCTTGTGATCACTTTGTATGTCTTTGTGGTCATTTTGAATCTTTTAGCCTTTTTCTCTGTCTTTGTGTTTCTTTGATCGACTTTATGGTCGTTTTGTGTCGCGTTATTTGATTCTTTGTGGTATTTTTCTTGCTTTACGACCTTTTTTTTCCTCTGTGGGGGTTTTATTTGAGCGCTTTGTGTGAATGTCGTTGATCCTTGTTGTCATTTGTCTGGTTTTTGTGACCGTGTTGCTGTGAGTCTGTTTAAAGCTCACCTGGTTTCCTTCGTCAGCAGGTTGGACTTCAGTCTGAGTGACGGAACCAGAATCGTCCTGCAGCAGCGTCTCTGCTGCTTATCTGCCGGCAGCAGGACGAAGACGGAGCGATGCATTCTGGGAAATGCTGTTTTAGCTGTTTGAGATTAAACCACATTAAAGGCCCTCCATCATCATCATCATCATCATCATCATCATCATCATCATCATCATCAGGTCTGAATCATAAAACAGCTGATGTTGCTTCTTTAAATCCGTTCCCGTGGCGGTTCCATTAACGTTATCTGCTTCGTTACTGCAACAATCAGCTGTTTGTCCTGAATGGATGGAGCGTTAACG